GACTACTGAGTCAGCGCTGACTGAGTAGTCTAATGGGTAAGCCTTTACCACTCGAAAGATACACTCTCGGCTCGTAGAATCCCGGGCTGTGAGTAGAGATCTCCGGGGACGGACCCCTCGCCAGGCGCTGCTGGAAAAGAACTAAGGTGCTTCTTCGTAAAGTGATCAGCCCGGGATTTGAACCTGTGCGTGTATCCTTCGCTGACTGAGTAGTCTAATGGGGTAAGCCTTTACCAATCGACAGGTTCAAATCCCGGGCTGATCACTTTACGAAAAAGCACTACCATAGTTCTTTTCCAGCAGCGCCTGGCGAGGGGTCCGTCCCCGGAGATCTCTACTCACAGCCCGGGATTCTACGAGCCGAGAGTGTATCTTTCGAGTGGTAAAGGCTTACCCATTAGACTACTCAGTCAGCGCTGACTCAGTAGTCTAGTCTAATGGGGTAAGCCTTTACTATCATTCCCAGCGAGGTGTCTTCCTGTCCCGGAGCGGCGTGGCTCTCCAGCTCTGGACCCTTTCCGTCCCCCTGTTGGGTGCTTACCCACACGGTGTGCGATCATCCCGCCACCCTCTCCGTGCTCTCCACTGCTGCCTTGCCCCGGCGTCCAAACCGGGGCATTTGGGTTCAAACCCATCGGCAGCTGTCTCCAAGTTGGCTCATCGCGATCTACCTCGATCTCGTGACCGCGGTAACTCCCGACCGCCAAACTCAGGATCCTCTCCTAAACGGTGCTAGGGACCGTATATCCGTCGTTGTTGGGTGGTTTTTCGAGGGTTAACTGCACTTGCGGGCCTCGGCCTTTGTTAGGATGATCCGAACTGGGGGTAGCTTGTCGCAAGACGTGTGTTGCATAGGGTGTCGGCATCTCGGCGAACTCGCGCCAAGGAGGAAAGACGTGTTAGGTTTGTTGCATAAACTTCTCCTTCACATCAACTCACATGAACTCACATGAACTGAACGCACGCGTGCACGCACCACCACGAGGGGGCGACGCAGTATACGACAGGGGTACCTTACACACCCTGGAAATACATTCCACGTACCACACAATCCTACAACCACTTGGCATTGCTACAAGTATATCTATCAGCCTCCCCCGGGGAGGGGAGGAGGGGGGGAGGCGGTATGCTGCTCGGAAAATATGGAAACACAGGTAGCCTTCACTGACGCTATTATCTGTCTTGGACTCGTTTCTTAGATAGAGATGGATGCGTTGTGTCATGAAGAAAAAAAAGAAACTTCGCGTCAACAGGCGGCAGAGATGTATGTGCTCCGAGCCTCTTGTTGGCAGTCGAACTAGGTTCACACACAATCATTCATTCCAGTTGTAGATTGGACGGAGCTTCAACTACAGATGGTATTACAAGATTTAGCCATTTTATGTGCTTCGGCATTTCTTTCTCTCGCGGCATTGAGAGTCTTTTCCCGCGCTTCCTTCTCAGGGCCACGCAAGCGGAGGCTCGTCGGCACATTAAGGCTCATGCGCGGAGCTCAGCAGGCCTCCGCGGGGTGTGTGGTTGACGGTCAAAGTCGCAAAACTGGCGCTATACCGCGTGCACGCGGGTCGAGCAGACAAAGCCTGTCGAACCAGTTCTTCTGAAACCCATCAAAAATGACAGAAGAAAGGACGGACGGACCGGTCCATGGACGGACGGGTCATGACCGTTCCATGACCTGGTCATGGACAGCCCAGCTGGGTCATTGCCCGACCCATAACCAGGGCACGATTTGGGCCATGGGCGGTCCATGTGAGGTCCATGGACGAGGGCCATGACCTTACCTAGCAAAAAGTTATTCGATATACTCGTAGCATAGTATGATGGTTGAGATGTTATGTANGTGTGAGAAAGCATGAAGGCGTGACTCGATACCGTGATGGTTTCACGAGCACGAGCACGCCCCCGTTTAATACAACACGACAACACGGAGACAACACGTTTCCCAACACGTCTGTACGACTTTACCCTACCACGGCCCGTCATGGCCCAGCTGCTCTACACTCCCAACACA